TTGCAGAGGTTGGCCTTGAACTTGTGATCCTCCTGCCTCAGCTCCAGAAGTAACTGTGGTTATAGGCATGTGCTACCTCATTCATATTCTTTTTTTTTCTTGAGACACCTGAAAATATGCATAAAGGGCCACCACTTCCCAATTCTCTTTCTACTATTTCATGGGATTTAACTCTTAGTTAAAAAAAGATGCTATTATCCATTCCAAAGCTATATTCCAAATATATAGATTAACTGATCCATCAGTGAGAAATTCAGCATGGTGTGAAGATCGTGAATACATGTGCTAGTCACTCTCCAGAGCAATTCTTACTAGCACTGTTTTGAGCCAGCAACGGATTGAATGGGCCAAGGAATCCTGCTGAGCATTTCAATTCTTGTCAATTTCTATCCCCTGGTGGTTTATAATAATAGAGTTAGCAGGGAGAACAGAGGAATAACATTAGTGACACTTGTGCTTGCTCCCTCAACAGACCCTTTCTCATGGGTTGCTTGCAGTTAGAATGTAGTACCTGAGATTTTTGCCAATGTTGCACCTGTTCTAAAAAACTAAGAGGAAATTATAACAAATTTAGACACACATATGTAAAATTAATAGTAGAAAAGTTAAATTTAGGTCCCAAACTGAACCTATATTATTTCACTAAGAAAATCAGTTTTCATATCATATTGAAAACTTCTAGGTTCATCTGACAATTCTGTGTTCATAATTAGCCAAGAGATATTAGAGATAATAGGAAAAATGCTCATTTCAATTATGAATGTTTTGTTCATAATTTTTCTAAGAAATACTTCTTCTGATTATTACTAGGATGACTGAGTATGATCTATGGCAGTGCTACGCAATATTTTGTATTCTGCAGCATACCTGCAGATCTGTAAACGTATTATAGCATCAAGTGAAGAGGGAAAGAAGAATCTGATGGAAAACAGCAAATGTATGCACTGTGAGAGAAAGGAAAAAAGCATAAGACACCAAGGTCTTCATGACAAATTGGTTGTATTGTGACTTAAAACATTGCACACAATTTAGGAGTAGTGAGAAAACTGCTCCCTCTTGAGGAATACTATTAACTTACTAAGTTCACTTTCTGTATTAACATCATAATTTTACAAGTACATTCACAGGCTTAAAATTCATTAGTGAGACTGGACAATCTTGTCACCCAACACTTCACCTTCATTTCCTAAAGGTACTTTAAAATTATCTTCAAACCTGTGGTGGACATTAGTATTTTTGTGTTAGCATTTATTTGATTTTTGTGTAAGCAAAACAAAAAAACGATTTTGCAATATACTATTATTAAACGGAAGGAAATTCCACTGCCTTGTTACTAAAAACCTGTAAAATAAATTGTTCTTAATATTATTCCTTTTTAAAAACAAAACAAAGATTACAATAACTGTAAAAATTGTACTTAAAATCCTATGAAAATTAATTTCTAGGTAGTTACCTTGATTACAATCAATAACATTGCAAAATTCCCTGACGTTGTTTTCATTGATTTCAGCTTGTTTTCTTTCAATAAATGCAGATATTCGTCTGTCAATCTACAAATAACAAATATGTTTTAACAATGTAAACAACAGTAAGACTTTTAAATGTATTGCCCCCTTCTTTTGCCCCACTCCCAAACTTCTTACTTCTGCTTTTCCAGCCTTTATTTGAACTACTTCTGGATCAAAATGGATTTGTATCTTTTTCATATCTCCTAAATCGCAATCTTTGTGCTTTTCTTCCTCTTGTAGGTCACCAGTGGGAAATTTGGCATTTAGTTCATTCTTGTTCCCCGTTTCTGTTTTTCCTATCTCTTCAATAGCAGTTGAATTCTCCTCTTTAATGAGAGGCTGAAGTTTTGCTAAAAAAGGCTGAGAAGAACACAATTCCATCTGCTGGGGTTCAAACTAACCAAAATTAATTATACATTTAACATGTTTATATAAATTTCTTCTAAGTAAATGAAATAATATTAAATATAAAAAGTTGGTACATAAGGATATATAGGTCTGATCACATACAAGTATTTGCAGTTTCTTGCTATTGAGACTTAACGATTTGCTATAAATTTGTTTAAAAAAATGAAAAAGAGAGAAAAAGAAAGAAAAGCTGAGGAAATTTAAAATTTTCTTTGAGGAAATCATTCTGTCACTCATCTTTTATTTTGTGCCAAATCAAAGGCTTCAGCCTCTGGCACCAATGCCACTTAATTAACATGTCATTCAAATGCCTCCTCAGAACACTAAGGCTTAGTATTTTTCCTCCTTAACACGAGAGCCAGTGCTCTCACTCAGCAAAGCCCTGCATTATCACCATATCACTGGAGATTCTCCACTTGAAACTGCAGTTGGCCAAAGTGAATGAGAGAGCATAGACATGAAATATATAGGTGTTATGCTGAGTGAACACTCAGGCTTTTCCTGACATGGCAAGATATCATCTTTGGTCATGAAATTAAATTTTACAAAAGAATATGAACATGGGAGTGGGGGCTGAAAAGCTAATCTACCAAGGCCCATAGCTGAAAACAGATATATGCCTATCACTATACTACAGGAGTAAAAAGCTCAGTAAATGTAAATTATATTACCCATCTACCTCCACCCCTACCTCTCCCAATTAGGCCTTATTTAAGTTCTATAGCTCATTGCTCTGCTCTTAAAAAAACAAGGTCAACTATTAATTTTAACATGTAGCAGTGAGTAAAATTTTTTCAGTCATTGAATGAAGGACTGAAAATTAATGCCTATTCCATTAGTCAAAACACACCAACACTTAACTAATATTCAAGTTATTTTTTTCATACCTACAATTTTGTCTCCATTGTTTGCTATACCAAATACTCTTTTGAAATCTTGTTAACACCTTAATCACAGTAAAGTGACCAATTCAAACAATTCTACTCATCTTCTTGACACTTCATATTTTATACTTTGATAGAGGTAAACTGCAACTTACACAATTATAATTATAGAAATGTTCAATTAGAAACCAGTAAAGCCATAATACTGTTCAGTTATTGACCTGAAATATTAAAAAATAAAACAATACTATTATAAATAACAATTCAATATTGACTTCTAATATCAAGGATGAATTATTTAAAAACTGTAAAGAAAGGATAAAATAGCAACTGGCTACTTACTAAGATGAGACATTAATGTCACAGAAATTACTTTCTTTTAAAAACTATGCTGAAACTGTTTAATTGCAATAGACACTCCAGGATGTGTCATGCTGGGATAATGCCACTTCTTGAACCACTGAAAGCACTCCATGAGCCTCCAAACTCACCCAAGGCATGGAATCATTATCATAGCATGACACACACCTGCCGTGTCTTATTGCTTAATTATAACCCACCATAGATGGAACTGTATTGAATTTTCAGTGCAAGTCTAGAATTGAATAGAATTGCATACATAGGCCATAACTGTCCTGATCACTACTGAAATGAACAGATTTAGATTCAATCTGGATATGAGTAACCTTTTATTAATAACATTATTAATCTATTATTAAGATAAAACTGACAAATACTCCAGCTAATTTAACCACAACTAATTTTTATTTTCAATATCAAGTTAAGATTTCAAACATGAAATTTACCTGTAAATATAAAATGTGTTGCTCAAGTGCATTAAAGAGCAATGCAGGCTGGAATGCTGAGAGGCTCTGGAGCTTGTTCCAATCGATTGTAATTTTCACCACATCATCTTTGAGGTTAAGCTTCAAAGGAGCAAACCAGCAACATCACAAAAATTACACGATTAAGCTGTATAACTGGGATTGTCACAAAAATAAGATTTTTGTGGAGTAACACATGCCTTTTTTGTTCAAAGTTATCAAGTATTTATAGTGATATATTAAAATGCTCTACTCAATTACCATTTTAAAAAGCTAAAAAGGTACAGACTTTCATAAAAAACCCAAACAAAATGACACCTCATTCTAATGTTCTCCTTAGGTAAGTGTAATGGGACCATCTTAGAGGTGAAACCAGCCATGAAAGATTAAAAAAAAAGATGAAGCTTCTTTAGACACTTCAATATTTGAAAACCTTTGGATGGGGTCCAAAATAGGATTGCCCTATTTAGAACTGTATCACTTCCAGCTCAGAGCATTAAACAGAGGTAGCACAACTATTTTAGGAAAAGTTCTACTATGTGGATTTCTCTTTGTTAAATATGTACACAAATACATACCTGATATACATCATAATTCTGATGTCTTCCGAATCACATTTTTATTGTTTTCAACTTTAATCAATTTTTAAAATAATTTAAAAATCAAGACTATTCATTCACATAAAGACTAGAGATAAATAGCAACATAATTATCTACTTCAAATAAAAATTAAACTATTACTTAGCTATGGAAGTCTAAAACTGAAAACCAAATACTTATCCATAATAGTGAAATAAATTACCAGAAAGTAAATGGAATGCCCATGCTTTTTGCTAAATAGTATTTTCTAGTAAGATGTGAGATGTCATGGTCTCATTACATGAAAATTTCTTTTTCACTGATGATCTATAAAAATAAAGTCATATCCAAAAACTACCAAGAGCATAAATATAAAATTGAAACCAAAATCAGTGAAAATTGTAGAGTCTCCATCTGCAGTCATTTGAATAAAAGTGATCCCCCATAACTTTCTAGGAATATGTGTTTATACCATAGTATAAAGATAAACTCTATAGTAGAACCAAGTTAATTATGTATTATTTTTCAGAAATAATTTATTAAAAATTAGTCATTTTATCTACAAAATAAAAATATGTGTTACATAAGTTTGAGTATAGATCTCATTAGTTGTAATAACAATAACAAAAAGAATCATAGTACATGGAATCAAAGAGATCCCAGAGTACCAATGGGCACTATTTTGAATAACATGTGACAGAAACTTATCACCCTTTGAACAAGACTAGAAGCATTTACAGTTCATATGAGACAGGTGTAAAGAAATATGAAATTTTATGTAAGCTGCACTGGCAAAGATGTATTAAGATTTTACATTAAGTTTAGTGCATTATCTTAATAGATATTATTTTCATGCCTACACAGATTATGTTTATGTATGGAAATAATCCATTATCATACTTTTACAGTCTACCAAAAGGTCTATAGTCTATTATGGCAAATTTATAAATATGGTTTGAGGAAAAGAGACAAATCCTCAACCCAAGTAGAACACCACATTTTCTAGAGAAAAGAAGTTTTAATGTTTGGATCATATACTCATTTCAATTCATCAGAATTTATGTAAGTCTTAAGTGCAATTAAGGATACTTGGTCTTTTAAGAAAACCACATAATTTCACAACTTCATTTTAAAATAATTCCAATATATCCAATTATTCTTTCAACAAATTCCTTATTAATATGAATTCTATGCACTTTTGCCATATAGATTCACTCAAAAATCGGTTAGTATGCTATTAATACAGACTATTTAAATATACATTTTTAATAGAAATCTTATTAAATTAACATGAAAATCCAAACTAACCATTTTTAGTTTGGTAAAATGGGCCACCCAGAGACAAGCAAAAAGGTTAACATTACTAAATTTTAAATCTGGAGTAGAAAATACTTTTAAAAATTCAACTGTTTTTTCTACTGAGGAGAGCTTATAATACAAATCATACTTAGAATGAATTTAGACATATCAAACATACACTTTTTAAATCCTTGAAACTTTCTTCTGCAAAAGGAAATACTGTCTCCCTGGGTGGGGGAATAGGGGCAATTTTATACCTATGGCATTCTAGTTTTCATTCTTAAAAACAATACAATTCAAAACATAAAGTATTACCCAAATGGTCAGCATTTAATTTATGAAACAATCTTATTTTTCATACTTGTCCAGAAGGTCCCTTCACTGTGTCAAGGAAAACTCACAAATGTTTACTCTAAAAATTTTTGACAGGTGACATAAGTAAAATTTATTTTCTCTATCAGTACCTTTAGGATACCAAAATATTTAAACATTTGAAATGATTTTGAAAAATTCAACATGCAAAATATTTCAAAAGAAATGTTCATATTGTTTCTCAATGTTAACTTCAAAAATTTCTGTTAAGTACTAGGTGAGCATAAATTTTTTTCACCTTGACATTAGAATATGAATCAGCTTTAAAGTTCCAATGTCCATGCCACAAAAAGTTCTCTAACTTTTAAATCACTTAAATGTCCTGGGTCTTAAGACTTAAATGTTAATATCAATCAAAAGATCCCAACTCTTAGGAGAAAAAAAAAATCAAGGGGTGTGTGTGTAAGTTTAACAGTTCTATCTTTTAGGAGATTCTATGAAGAATTGCTTCATTACACAAAACTGAGTGAATAACTTAATGTTTGCAAATCACAACAAACATATTAAGGTTTTTAAAAACATTGAAATAACTTTTTAAAGGATTAATTTTAATTCTCACAAGTCGGGCAAGCGCTTTATTTTCATAGGAATTTACCATTTTCTTTGGCACAAATGCTTGCTGTGTCCACTACACGCGATAGTAACAGCCCAGAACAAATTTGTCCATTTAAGATTGAAGATATTTTTAAAAGCAGGCAAAAACCTTTGTTTCTCGTTTAAAATTTGATGTATTGTATCATAACGAAATAATGTATTTATCGAGTAGAATGTGAAAAGCCTAGTTTTAAAATTTTATTACATTTCTGCAAAAACTATCAGTCAAACTAGTTAATAGTTAAATGACAGTTCTAATGCAATCGATATCGGTCATGGATAACTCATCCAGCTTTACACTAGAAATATTTAAGATTAATTAATTCCTTTACTTTCCTCAGAGTTTGACAGAATAATAAATGCACACAAGGCCAGAAGGAAAAAAAAAACAAAAAACAAAAAAACCAAGTGACTCAGAAGAACAAATCATCCTAAAAAGGCGGAGGAGGTCCTTTTCCAAAAATCTCAGGCCGTACTGACCAATTTCTATAAAGAATAAATTTGGGTAAATGGACCCTGAGCGCCAGGAATCTCCAAGACACTCAGAAAATGTTTGCGCAAGAAATTCATACATTCTCGCCAAGCCAGGTTTTCACCTAGATCGTCCCACTCACTCTCCGGGAGGACTACTGCAAGGTAATCTAGTCTGACACCCGTACTGACCCAAGTAAACCCAGTACAGTCATCCTCTTCACTCTGATCCGAATGGCTGGGCCTGGATTCCACTCCCGGCCTCAGCTATACCCAGCCTTCCCACACCCAGGCAGTCCTCGGGTGCCTCCCTCCCGAACACCGCCCCCCACCACACACTGGAGGGATAAAGGGCGGGAGCGGGGGGTTGGGGGGAGCCGAATGCCCTATGCACAGTCCCCCCACTCACCTGTCCAGCCAGTGTGTGCAAGGAATGAAAGACTTCGCAGAGCACCTCGCGGGAAAGATTGGGGCTGCAGCTTCCCTCCAGACTGCTGTCACTGCTGCTCGGGTGACTAAGCTCCGCAGCAGCAGCCATGATACCTTCCCAGGCAGCCCCCCACCACCACCGAGGTACGCTCACAACCCCACCCCCTCCCTTTCCAGCTTTGGTCGCTCTGCGATGACGTAAAATCGCGGCGTCTGGTTTAGATCCGAGTTTTTGAGGCCCCACCCACTATAGGTGACTGACAAGCCCAAGCACCAACCAGGTACTAAGGTAGCAATGTTCACGGGAGCAGTTAATTACTGACTAGCGTGAGGAGGGACGTTGTACTTGGGGCACTGGTTGGAGTCGAGTCCTGTTAAGGGCTAGTATCGTGAAACCTACTGTGACTCTTAGATGTTCCTTGTGAGTGTTGGTAAGAGGATTTATAGATCAATATTTGAATTTGAATCCTAAAGTTAAAAGTTGAAATTTGGATATATTGGCGTGGAGTGGCCTAAAAAACACTGCTAGTGAAGAGCGTAGCAGTACCCACACATTTCTGAATACTGAAAAACTCACTGAATTTATATAATTGGACAGAACATTTTCATTTGCACGAGGTTGAAACACAAAGTTTAACGGCACTAAATTTCCTTGTAAGAGAGGGGAGAATATAAGAAAAGTAAAATTTCTCTATTATGCCTTATTTTACTATCAAGGGAATAAATAACATTAATGACTTTGAATTTGCAAAATAGTTAATCTCAAGTTTTAGAAGGTGCATCAGTTTATATTCTCAGAGTGATAATTGTAGAGGTTCAGCCCTAAAATTGTTTCAAAGAGGTGAAACACAGTCAATATGAATCCAACAGGAATTTAAACCAAGTAATTTCATGTAAACACAAACTTTGAAATTAGGAGAACATGAAGCTGAATTGAAATTTGACAAAGTATTATTTATCAGCTTTGGTATAAAGTTGTTTAAAGAATTTTGTAAACTTTTAATCAGATATTAACATTTAAAATTACCCACTGAGCGTGGTCGTGCACATCCCTTAATCCAGCGACTCAGGAGGCTGAGGCAGGGGGATGGAAAAGTCCAAGTCAACTTCAACTATTGAGTAAGGCCCTAAGCAATTTAACGGGACCCTGTCTCCAAAAAAAAAAAAAAAAAAAGTCTGGGTTTGTGGTTCATTGGTTAAGCGCCCCTAGTTTCAATCCTCAGTACCTAAACAAATAAATAAATAATAAATAAAGTTATCCAATTTAAAATAGTTTTAGAAAGATTTTTTTTTTTTAGTGTCCAGAGCTCTATTTAAAAAGAATACTTTAAAAATAAGCAAGTTTAGAGATGAAGGTCAAGGGATTTAAAATTCTTCATTCTAATAGCCCAATGCATTTACAGTAAAGGAAGCGAGGGTAGAAACTTGCACAATGTGCATTCTTTGGTTTTAGAGTAGACTGAATGAAAGAGGAGGAGTAAGACATCAAGGAACTGGGATAAGGGCAGTAAGGACAAAAGAACTCTTTTGACCTGTCCCTAGGGGGCCTCTTAATTAGCTTTTCATTTCCATAGACATGTGGGATCACCAGGTTTGGCAGGATCTTGAAAATTTTATCTGTTTCTCTGTTAGCAGCAAGTCCAGCCTAGGTAGAGAGAGAGAAAAAAAAAATTCCCACAGTATCCAATCCCAAATTGAGCAACCCTCTTATTCAAGCCACTCATCCTCATAACTAATGTAAATTCACAATTCTTTGCAATGTTAGCATTTTTTTCTTTGCCTCTGGTTCTCTTATTAATGGACAATAATTGTAATGTGGTAACCAGAAGTTTTTGTTCTGTACCAAATTAGCAATCAGCTTCAGATTATTTGTTTTCATCAAGGTGTGAAAGATTTTTTTCAAGTATGTAGAACACTGGTATGCAACACATTCTTTGTACATTAAAAGTATATCTAATATATGAAAAAAATGTTCAACATCCTTAGCAATCAGGGAAATGCAAATCAAAACTACACTGAGATTTCATCTCACTCCCGTTAGAATGGCAATCAAGAATACAAATAATGAATGCTCGTGAGGATGTGTGTGTGTGGAGTGGTACACTTAAAACATTTTTTGTGGGACTGAAAATTAGTACAACCACTTTGGGGAGCAGTATGGAGATTTCTCAAAAGGAAATGGAACCACCTTATGACCTAGCTATCCCACTCCTTGATATTTATTCAAAAGAACTATTATAGTGATATTAAGAGTAATATCCATATACTATAGTGATATATGTATACCAGTGTTTATAGCAGCACAATTTATAATAGCCAAGTTTTGGAACCAGGCTAGGTGCCTGTCAACAGATTAATGAATAAAGAAAATGTGGTATAACTACAATGCAATTTTACTCAGCCATAAAGAATAAAATTGTGTCATTTGCTGATAAATGGATAGAAATGGAGAACATCATGCTAAGTGAAACAAACCAGACTCTAGAAGTTAAAGATTAAATGTTTTCTCCCATATGTGAAAGCTAAAGATCTTTTTTCATAAGATCCTCTTATGGAAAAAAGAGACTTATAGAATAGAGGAAGAAGTAAAGGCATAGGCAAGTAGTGGAGAATAAAGTCTACCAAATTATGCTATGACCAAGTATAAAGTAACACAATGAATCTCACTTTTATACATATTGCATTAATTAAAATAATAATAACAATAGCAGGGAAATCAATAGAGTAAGTAGATGGGGGAAGGAGAGGGAAGGAAAAGGGAAGGTACTGGGGAAGAAGATTTAACCAATTATATGCATGTATGAATGTAGCATAATGAATCCCACTATTATGTATAATTATAATACACCAATAAAAATATATAAATTTGTATGTGTAATCGTTAGTATGTGTAAATGTAGTAAATAACTAAATTGTTGCTCATTCCTTTTTTTGCAACCATTGATTTTGAAATTTCAAGTTTTGCTTGATCCCTTGAATCCCTAATATAGAATTAACAAATGGTCATTTGAAACATGTATTAGTTCTTTGTGATTGAATATCAAGACAAGCAATTATATTTTAGTTTTGCTTACTTAGGTAATAATGAAAATTTGTTAACTCTTTCATGTATTATTTCTCTTAATGATCTTTTTTACTCCTTCCTGATGGGCCTATTAAATTCCTTTGGAATTTTTTCTTATTTTCCTTTTTTATAATAGAGAATTCTGTTTTAAATAGAAGAGTTGATAGGCTGAAAAGATGTGGATTCCTCTGGGCTAAGTCCAAATAGAAATTTGTAGATATTAATGCATAACAAAAAATATAATAAAGACTGAATCTTGGAAAGGAAATAATTTGCCCTTTATAGAAAACTAATTACAGTTTATGAAATGGCTTGCTAAAAAATCTGCTGCCTGGCAGATTTTGATTCAAAGTGTTTTGATTCAAAATGTTGATGTTGGCACTAGCAACAAAGTTAGAAATACTGTCCTATAAGTTTATGCCAAGAATCAATTGGGAAGATAGAAACCATAAATGAAATCTAGGCTATCTACCTTATAAACAAAACTGTCCTTTATGATGGGCTTTAAAGGCATAGCTCTATTAAATAATCCAGTGCCAGCAAAATGACTGAGGTATTGTATATGCCCAACTGATGTTTGTTTACTATATGATAATACAAAATTTTCCTAATGCAGAAAAGAAAAAACAAAGGTATTTGTCATCTCTTCCTATCAATCTGTTGGTTAAGTCCAAGTTCCTGCTTGGGAAACTCTCTTTTCCATCTTCAGACTCCAATTAGGAAATCTCATCTGGGAAGTCTCTCCTCATAATGATCTCATTTTCTACTCTGCTAAACCACTCTTAAAACCTGTATATGCTTTGATGTTGGTCAAACTTTATTTGAATGTGTTATGACTCCCTATTGAACTATGAGTATTTATGTTATTTGTATCATATTGGTGTCTTTAAGGCTTAGCATAATTCCTGGTACAGAATAATTGGTCAGTAGAGTATTCTGACCTTATTTAAGGCAGTTATGTTCTAAGACCCCCAAAGGATGCTTGGAAATGTGAATAATGACCAAACCCTACTTATACTATGTGTCACTCTTCGTGTACATTTTAGCAAATCCAGCATATTACTTTTTTTCTTTCCTTATTGAGAATTTTTAACTTTTTGATAAAGGAAGTGCTTTACAGCTTTTCTTTGGCATATCCAAATTGCCAGTATCACTACTCTTGCAATTTGGGGACCATTGATAAGTAAAATAAAGGTTATTTGCACATGAACACTGTAATATCATGAAAATTCTGGAAACTGAGACAGATAATAAGCAACTAAAAATGGGAAGGGTGGATATATATTATGGATACTCTGGACAAAGGGATGCTTCACCTTTCCAGACAGGATGAAGAAGGGTGGTGCAAGATTTATGAGACTATTCAAAACTTCGTTTAATTTAAAATTTATGAAGTGTTTGTTTCTGAAATTTTCCACTTAAATTTCAGACCTGTTGTTAACTATAGGTAACTGAAACTGTAGACAGACAAACCGTGGACAAGAGAGAACTACTGTATATGTGTATTGAACTTAATTTATTTGTGTAAAGTGAACAGATCTGTAAAATAAACAAATAAAAGGTAACAAGTTACTCTTCTAACACATAGTAAGGATGCTATTCCTTTCAAATAATGAAACAATTCCTTTCAAATAATGAAACATGTCTACTCTCTGTTTGGGGGCAACAAATTCAAATTTTACTCAAGTGAAAAATACACCTAGCCTACATTACCATTATCAAGAAATATACCCACAAAAATCAATTTTACCTTGTATAAGTCAAGTTCTCTGATTAACATTGGAGGTATAAAGATGAATCATCAAGAGCACTCACTCAAATAAGCTCATTTCTTATGGGACTAGGCAGACATGTAAATAAACAACTACTCATATAATGTGCCCATGATGTATAAAGTAATAAAACCAATTAGTTCTTTTGGGGATGGTTTTGGGTTCAGTGTCAGCAAAAGCTGTAAACAAAGTAATATGAATTAAGCTTCAAATTGTAAGTGAATTTATCAATTTAAAGTAATTTCAAATAGTATTTAACATTCTTCATGCATTCACAGACAATGCATTGAATAGAGAAGAATGGCTAAGCTAGCATTTCCCTTTTTTTTGGTGGGGCTGGTACTGGGGATTTA